AAGCAGCTAGAAGGAGCGTGCAATAGATTTAAAAAACAGAGTCTCAAGGCGTGTAATCTTAGAAAAGTAAACACCCGTTTCGAAATAAATAAATAAATAATAATAAATATACAGATTTTCCCTCTTTTTCTTTCCTTTCCTTTACAATCAAACTCCAAACATGAAACATGTGTTTATGTCCCATTTAGTACATCTGAAAACATCCGTTTTCACATCAGTCATTAACCAGCTTGTAATCGCTAAACTGAACCCCTTCGGTTGATTCATCATCATTCAATTTTTTCTTTTCGTGACAACCAAATTACCATTTTAGCTTGCCCAAATAAAATTCCTGTATTTATGCCCATATATTAAAAATCACAGGGATATAAACTACTTCCCCCAGGGTCAGACACCACTCCTCTAATTTGATAAACAACGGCTTTAGCCTAAAACAGCTGAAAACAAATGATAAACGATTTACAGAGAGAGAGAGAGAGAGAGAGAGACGCATCCAAACACTTCCGACGCCACAATCTCATAAACATTAGCAGGAACACGCTTCAGATTAAAACAAGCCAAAATAAACTGTGTGATTCCTGAACGGATGGGAAACTCACACACACACACACACACACACACACACACACACACACACACACACACACACACACACACACACACAGGTACTGGCTCCTCCACCGGCGGTCAGTCACAGTTAGAGTCGCTGACACGAGGAGTTACACCGGCTTAACTGTGTCTGCCGTTTACAAGCAGCTCACGGCGGGTGTGTTTACAGCACTGCATCAGATTAGCCGCTCGCGTACCGCACACAACACACACTCTGTGGACAAAGCAGACACTTCTACACACAATTCAATTTACAATCATTCTTCTTTGTCTGGCCATCTGATGGACGAGGTTGGGTTGTTTGGTGGAGGGGGGGGGGGGGGGGGGGTTACGGTGCTCCCGAATTTGTGTTTTTCAGCATGACTGCTCCAGTGCCAAAGCAGGTCCATAAACACACAGAGTCTGACCTCTGACCTCGAACCGACAGAACAGCTGTGGGATGAGTTAGAGCGGAGACTGAGAGCTTCGACATCAGTGCCGGACCTCACTAATGCATGAACTAGAAGAACGGTCAAACATTCCCAGAACCCTTCGCTGGAGCTGTTACAGCAGCAAAGGGTGGAGCAACTCCATATTAATCCCTGCGGATCAGGAACGGGTGTCATTAAACTCCATGAGCATGGTAAGCCAGTTGTCACAAAACTGTTGGCAAAAGTATATGTCTGTCTGCGACACACTGCTATTCCTCAAGCTCGCAACGCCACGGACACGGTTCGACTCCCAGAGAATGCATGAACTGAAAATAACACAATCAATGATGCAAACTATACTAGTGTCATTATTCAGATCAATTCAGTTCTTAATATGACTAAATATTGAGTGTGTACACACACACACACACACACACGGATTAGTCTGCTCAGAGACACATCTGGGTCAGCTCTGAGTAATGGAGCTGCACATCTGGAGCTCAGTCAGTCTCTGCTCAGTCTTTATAATCCATCAGTGTTTCTGAGCAAACACACACACACACACACATACAGAGAGAGAGAGAGAGAGAGTGATGGGAGTCTCACACTGCCTGCGCTTTGTCAACCATTCAGGAAATCATTCAGGAATTAACAACAAGACAAATGCACACAAACACACACAGATGTGCACAAACACACAACACAACGCTGACCGAAGCTGATAAACCGTGACCTTCTCTACAGTAGTTCACAGAAAACACACACTCACTGTCAGACCTGCACGAGCAAAACACATTTTGGACCCCATTGACTTTGATGTTTCACAGGTTTGAAAAGCATGAGTGTGGAAGATTAATTTTCTGCCACATCAGAATATAATCATGCGTTGGAAAATCTTAATTATGACACAAATCGACATTTTGGCAAAAAACTTAAATGAATTATGACATAAAAATTCATTTCAACTACTTTTAATCTCATAATTAGGACTTTTTACAATTTCGACCATATCTCATAATTTTGACTTTTTATGTCATAAGTAAGATTTAGCAAAACATGGGATTCCATATGAGGGCGAGTAAAGGATGACAGAATGACGATTTGACTATCAGATGTAAATATTACAGGAATATGATCTCCAGTGCCATGTGTTAAAATCACTGTAAACTCACTCTGACAAATCACATATTACCAATAACCCCGTTACAACATGACGTCATACTGTCAAACTTCACTCACATCAGTGACAGCACCAGCAGAGATGCAGGACATCAGTAAACAAACAAACAGCTCACACACACACACACACACACACACACACACACACACACACACACACACACACACACACACACACACACACACACACACACACACACAGCTCGTACCGGGGCACGCAGCTCGGAGAGGAGCGGTCGATGTCCCAGGTGGCGAACAGGTTCATGGACACGGGCATGGCCCCGGAGAGCCCGGACCCTGAGAGCCCCGGGCCGGGCACTGGAGCCCCCGGAGCCCCCGGAGCCGCTGCAGGGAGAGCCGCTCCTCCTCCACCGCTGGCCGGGTTCATGAAAGCGGCCCGAAGCCCCCCTCTCTCCAGCGCTGCCGCCATCATCCCTGTTCAAGCACTCACTGCTCTCTCTCTCTCTCTCTCTCTCTCTCTCTCTCTCTCTCCGAGGCTCTGAGTCCCCTCTCTCTCTCTCTCTCTCTCTCTCTCTCTCTCTCTCTGAGCGGCGCTGAGACTCTGAACGGGACCGGGGCACATGAATGTCTGGGTGGAGCTTCTACACACGCGCGTGCGCAGTCTGACCTACAGGGGGCGCGCATCGTCATCGGACCTCAATACACACAATAATACTGTAATTATAGTAACAAATTATTGTTATTATTTAAAATAATAATAATAATGGTAACAATAAGCTACAAGAATAGTTGAACCTGGGAGAGGACTAGTTAGACCAGAAAGAAGACTAGCTGGACCAGATAGAGGACTAGTTAGACCAGAAAGGGGACTCGTTGGACCAGGTAGAGGACTAGTTAGACCAGAAAGAAGACTAGTTGGACCAGGGAAGTTGGCAAGTTGGAGTGGACTAGTTAGACTAGGGAGATGAATAGTTGGACCAGGAAGAGGACTAGATGAGTGAGAATGAGGACTATTTGAACAAGGAAGAGGACTAGTTTTTGCACACTAGTTTATTTTTGCACACTTTTAACCAAAGGCCATGTATGTTTGTCAGTTTGGATTTGTTGATCACTGACAGCTATTTCATGTCACTAATAAAGCAGCAATTCTGTCTCTTTTTTCTGTTTTTTTTTTTCTCTGTTGTAAACTCTGTAAAGTAACGACTCCTTCCCTTGCCTGTGTCTCCATCTAGTGGAGAGTGTGTGTCACAGCTGCAGGGATCTCAGTCACGGGTGTTCATCGGTCGGCACTGTGTATCCGCGGTTTCCTAACACTGATACATTTCTGCAAGAATTAAAATAAATATTAAAGCTTTGCAGAATATGTACAATGTAATTATTGCTTCATGAGTTTTTCCCCCAATTTTTGTTTTTAGCAAGTAAATTACTATATATGTAAAGATATAGAAGTTTGAATGATTTTTTTTTTTACACAAATCAGTATTTCATTATAAAATACGATGTTGTACAGTATAAGTTCAGGATTCATGTAATGCTCCTGTTGTCAGTGTTTTATTTTATTATGAGTGACATGTGATATGAGTGACGTGTTTTCTGAATGAGTGTTCAGTGTTATGGTGAGCTTATATTGAGACATGAATTGTTGTGATGGTCTGAGTGAGTTCTGGAGGTGAGATTAACTGTTCGAGGTTCGAGTTGGTAACGCAGACTCTATGACGAGTTCTGAACACGTGGGAAAACTGTAAAGGTCAACACACATCTTACAATGACAGTAGAACAATACAAATTTTACAACAATTGATTTTTTTTAATCAACGTTTAACATTAGGAATTTAAGATGCATTGTTTCAAACAGTTAGACCAGCATATACTCACATCTACTCATAAATGTGTTTTTGTATATGTTGGAGACAAATAACAATAAACCCATTTTCACCTGACGGCCGATAGGTGGCGCTAATGACACTTACGAGAAGATGATTTATGAATAACTGATCAATTAAAACAGTTTTTCCTTTCTGTCTATGAGTTTTTCATGTTTTAAAACGTAGTTAAACAAAACAATAAAATACTAAATTGTTTTTAAATAAAATACAACTCATTTCAAATTTCACTTTTAAAAAGCTGTGTTAGTTTTTCTGACAGTATACAGAGACTGAGGGAAAGTAACAGTAAAATGATGGACAAAAAACATCAAAAGGAAAATAAAAGAAACAAGACTCTTTTGAAAACATGACATTATATTATTTAAGTCCTGATGTGTTGGAAAATGGCAAGTACATGTAGTTGTACAGCCAGGGGCAATTGGTATATTGATATATTTTGGGATGGAAAATAAACAAATTATTTTATTACATACAAGGACATGCTTTTAAACAGTACTATAGCGTTTAAATGTAAAAAGAATACATTTAAAAATAAAAATTCTGATTAACTTTATTTGGGAATATGTTCTATATTAAATACGCATGCTGTCTGCGCATGTCTGCTGCCTCTGCGTGCCGAACGCACTCGCTGACGTCACAAACTGGGACGTTTTGTTCTTGTCATTTAACTCTAATTGCATTTTTTAATGAATTTGTACTGTGTGAACCCTGACCTTGTGTCATTTGTTTGGAATAAATCGTTAAACTAAAAAACAGGATGGAAATTAATTAGCCTATAGATACACTGGATTACTTATTTATTTAATATTTCTTTCTACAAAAGCAGAGGTATTTATTTGGACACAAAGCGCGCTATTTTTCTTTACGTAGATCGATCCTCGATCCTCACTGAGTTCCTTTGTGGGCGTGGCTACATCGACTAGAGCCACGCCTCCTCCATTAAAGCTCGCGAGTAGCCGCTGATGCGGGAGACGATGATCGAGCCGCCAGTGAAACGCGTGTCTGACGCTCGTGTTCTATAGAGTTCTGGACTAAACGCGTGTCTGACGCTCGTGTTCTATAGAGTTCTGGACTAAACGCGTGTCTGACGCTCGTGTTCTGTTGAGTTCTGGACTAAACGCGTGTCTGACGCTTGTGTTCTGTTGAGTTCTGGACTAAACGCGTGTCTGACGCTCGTGTTCTGTTGAGTTCTAGACTAAACGCGTGTCTGACGCCCGTGTTCTGTAGAGTTCTGGACTAAACGCGTGTCTGACGCTCGTGTTCTGTAGAGTTCTGGACTAAACGCGTGTCTGACGCTCGTGTTCTGTAGAGTTCTGGACTAAACGCGTGTCTGACGCTCGTGTTCTGTTGAGTTCTGGACTAAACGCGTGTCTGACGCTCGTGTTCTGTTGAGTTCTGGACTAAACGCGTGTCTGACGCTCGTGTTCTGTTGAGTTCTGGACTAAACGCGTGTCTGACGCTCGTGTTCTGTTGAGTTCTGGACTAAACGCGTGTCTGACGCTCGTGTTCTGTTGAGTTCTAGACTAAACGCGTGTCTGACGCCCGTGTTCTGTAGAGTTCTGGACTAAACGCGTGTCTGACGCCCGTGTTCTGTAGAGTTCTGGACTAAACGCGTGTCTGACGCTCGTGTTCTGTTGAGTTCTGGACTAAACGCGTGTCTGACGCTCGTGTTCTGTTGAGTTCTGGACTAAACGCGTGTCTCTGATGAGCTCGCGATTCTGTCACAGGTAAGATCCCTCATTACCTCAGACTGATGTGTTGTTGTGTAGTTTGACAGGTGTGTGTGTGTGTGTGTGTGTGTGTGTTCCTGTCTACTGTAGTGTTTCATACTCGGAGTTAGAGATGTTTTCATCATCATCCTCAGCTCATGTTAAATCTGAGAATCTTCATCCTTCAGTTTATCAAAGGTCGCGTTTACATCATCTTCATCATTTTTTATTGTATTTATTTATTTATTTTAAAGGGACAGTGCCCTGATAGCACACATCACTGAGATGTCTGTCTGATGTGTGTGTTTTCATCTGGAAGGCGCAGTTTTAGTGTTTGCTCATCTGCAATACGTCTACGTTTCCTGTCAGATGTCAAATAGACGTTTGGAAGATGTCTTTAAGATGTAATGATTTAGAATGTATGTTAAAGTGACGTCGGTTCGGTGATTACGAACAGATGCACTCTGGGTAATGGGTTTCGTCTCTGGCGTTTTAGGGGTTAATCTGGTGAGATGTTTAATGTTTCAGTTCAAAACCTCAGATATTATTATAATGTTTGTTTTCTATGTGAATCTATGATCCGCACTCGTGATAACGCATGTCTACTCGTCAGCATTAGATGATTAATCATTCATTTAAACTATTCATTATTTTGGCATCATCAATATTAGTGAATGTTCAACCTTTGAGGTTTTTCAGGATCACTCATGTCCGCTTCAGTTGAATATGTTCATCAGCAAATAGCCACATAATCTTATAATAATATTAATCACATTCACTAATCATTTTGATGAAACACAAAACATAATTTTCCCATATTTAAACTAATTAAACGATTAGACAACTAAAACAGGATCAAATGCACAGAGCTAATGACTGAAGTCACTGATGTCATTAATCAACACTCATCTTAACCGTTAGAATATTTCATTGATCTGATAATATTTGAGTTTCAGTAATTGTGTAATTGTGTGTGACACTAGTGTGTCTGATCTGGATTTGCTGATGCTGACGGTGTTCAGTATCTTTGGGTGACGATCATATCATCATCTTAATCATCTTCATCTTCTGAGCAAACCGGAAATACAGGATTGAATATGGAAGTATTGTGTCATAAATTGATGGTGTGATGAACGCTTGCCCTGAACCTGAACACGTTTGATTCATGATCTATTAAAGGTGAATAATGTGCATTATTGACATTGATCGTTTAATGATATATAGATATGATGATGAATGTTGAAGTTACTGGAACGATTGACGAACCTGAACCGGGTATGAGACCAGAGAGTGTGCAAAAATACAGTAAAACTGAAATATTATTATAATGTAAATCATCTGTTCTCTATGAATATCCAGGAAAGCTGAATTTATCATCATTACTCCAGTCTTCAGTGTCACATGATCCTTCACAAATCACTCTAATATGAGGATCTGATGCTCAACACACATTTATGATTATTATCAGTGTTCATATTTCTGTGGAAACTGACGAACAGAAGCGTGTCGTCCAGCCGGAGCTCATATATATATATATATTAGATATATAATAATCAGTGTTTTATTTCCGACGGAGGGTCGGAGTGGATCACGGGCGGTACTGCGATCGACGTGTTCTAGTTTGGTTCGGGTCACTCATTCTGAGAGTGTGGTGTGGAGCGCAGTGATCTCGCCACGGTCATGTGACACCACGGTTCGGGCGGTGTGACCCGTAGAGACTCCAGAGGGGTCGTGTTGGTGTCACTG